TAGTCCCGGTGTGACAGAGGTCACGGTTATCCAATCAAAACGAATAAAACAAGGTCAACCTTGTACGACACCCGTGTGACGTACGGATTAAGTATCTTACCACTTGTATCTTCACCACGTGGGTCATAATGAGCAATATTACCAGGACACTGTTAAAATCTTGGATTCAAATGAAAATATCATTACTGATATTAATCAAGTGTCATGTCATCAAAAACAGTTCCAAATTGGAGGAGATCACTAACACGAGAGCGCTTCTCAGGAGCAATGTTTTTGTGTGATAAAGTTTAACGAGATAAGCAGCAAATCAATACTCTCTCTATCTTACATCATTAAATGTTCTCAAGATTTTAGACTGAGCAATAATCAGATTTGATATATTCTATTAGAGGTTAAATGTTTATACTGTTACCATTGTTGACCAAACTGTAAATCTGTAAATAGCTACAGGGTTAAACTACCAGTACTACCTGTGCTGTTTTTACTTACCTCCTGTGTCTGGGGAGCATGGTATTGGGCAATGAAGCATTTAAGAAGATCCTTGCTCAGTTTCTTGATTTTCTTGGTGAAGTAGGAGAGATTCTGTAATGGTCCGATGGTGGATGTGCCCACACCATTTCAGAGGAAGTTATATGATAGTTCTGTCAAAATGTTTTCCATCAGTTCTCGAAGTAAGAAGAACTGGATCTAGCACTGTTTCATATGAAGTTTCCACAGAGTGACCACTGCCAGTGGATGGAGGTCTTACTTTAACTTCTAGATAAATGTTTGGCCTGTAAATTATATTGGAATGTCATTAAAGCGTTGACTAAAGGGAAGATTCAAGTTGTTTATGTCAGATAAATAAAAACTTCATTCTTTAACCCTAAAACTTGTATGTGAAAATGATTTTCAGATATAAAAACACACAAATCTTATTAACATTACAATAATTGTTATGAAAACCTAGCATATCAGAGCTGCACTAACACCTGCGTGAACATACCATGCAAGGAATGCTCTTAAAAGGAACAATCTTTCTAGAATTTGAAGCTGTGTTACCTACGATAAGGATGCAGTTCATTTTCAGAGATCAAAAGGATGCTTGGAAATGTTATTAATAATTATTGAAGCAACTTCTGTGAGAAGTGAGGAGGTACCTATGAATGATATTATTACATAAATACAAAACATTAACTGTAATAATAAGCTATATACCATATGATAACCAAACACTTTATCAATATCACTGGTATTCATGTACAACAAAATGAATAAATACTCAATTATCGCAACAATAGATTTCTTTGCCATTTGGCATGGATACTTTCACAAGTTCAGGAAACAGCTGAGATGGGTTATCAATTTGCTAATGTTTGTTAATGAGGTTAATGTTCACTGGTTGTATATTTTCACCATATATTGGGGCCATTCAAATTGGATTGTGTGATATTAATTCTATGATCATATTGTACTGTTGCCTTGTGCAGTATCGAAGAAAGATATTTCAGTGTTATAACTATTTATTTTTGTAATTGATATCAATCCCAGATGTATTCCGTGGCAAAAACATACCTATTCTGTGATTAGAATTTCACCTTCACAATTGTTTTTAGTGACAATGTTGATTGATGTTCACTAGTGTAAACATACAGACATAAGCAATAATACAATCAAATTTACTTTGAAACAAAATCAGGATATTGAGTTCATGTTACCATTTCTAAAACGAAAAATGTTTAAAAGACTGTAAATTGTTTTAATGTTTCCATTTGTCTAAAGTTGGCATTTAAGAACAATATGTTTTCTAAACATCGGTGAATGGAGCATAAGAAAAGTAAACAGTTTTTTCTATGATTTAACTGATAAATTATTGATGATTATTAGCACATATTTTAAGAGTTGATTAGATGAATGGTAACTTTTCAAATTTGGGATTTGTCGTGTCTTGATTATTTGTAACGAACCTCTGTAATTGTCATAGTGCTTCGCTACATGAATTGCCTTATCTTATCAAACCATACTGTAGATTGTACATGTTGTAGTGTGTATATTCAAAAATATATTGAAAGATTTCTGAGTGCAATTGTTGTGGTGTTAATTTTCTTCTTGAGATGACAGTATACTGTACTACTTTGGATTTACTTCACACTTCCAATAGCATTAAGAATGTTAAGAGTATTTTTAAAATCATATGTATGTTTGTGTGAAACTATTGAACTACATTGTACATGTAAAACATCATTTTTGTCCAGTGGTCAACCATGTGCAGAAAGTCTGGTAATAAGAAATAATCTATAACCCTTTTGGGTGGTATTTTGGGAGGTACTTTTTGACCCTTGTAAGTAATGTGGATGCCCTTTAGGTTATAGGTTGCTGCATTGTATGCTATACCACGGACCTATATACAAGTTATACAAGTCCATGGCTATACTTAATCCTAGATTTCCATATCTACATCAGTGTTATCAAATGGCTCAATGTACTAAATGTTAGTTGGGATACAATTAAATAGATTTCTTTTGATTAGGGAAATGTTTCCGAAACATGTCATGTTTTCATAACTTGGGTATCAACAAAGTGTATCGATACCTTGCTGGTGTATACTGTTTTGTTTATAAATTTATTTTGATTGCAAATAATTGGGGTATTTTCACTAGTCTACAAATAATCTGCTTCAGAGTTACCATCTACCTTGGACGAAGTGGTAATCCACAAGGAAATGTCAGTAGCCCTAGACTAGAAGATGTATCACTATGCTAGTTTCAAACATTGAATAAAACAACTTATATTATGAATTATGCTCGTTATGGATTCATGTTGTTCTATAATAAGGGTATGATAATGTTACAAACGGATGGAAGACAGTACATCTGCAGTCAAACTTTGCAACTTCATATTTTTATAATATTGTAGGAGTATATAGCCTTCATTCTTGTAAATTACATACACATACAGGTCTATTCAAGACCAAAAAAAGTTTCAAAAGGTGGTGTAACAATTTAATGACATGGCATTAAAAATTTTAAAAACCACCATCACCTGTCAGGAGTTTCAGCTACAATTAGAGGATTCACCATGCACAAAGCCTTCTGAATTTCATGCTGGGCTTTAATGGTAGCTGTACAAGCCAGCATGCGAGTCTGTGGGAGGATTGCACGTAAATCCCCTACTTGGAGAAAGGCGGGTCGAAAGTTAGATTTCCCCCATGATATGACACAATGCGCCTCATCAACAATAATGTGACTGATCTGAAATTTGAGGATAATGGGACACAGTACACTAAGACATGTTTATTTATAGAAAACAATTCACAAAATGTGCAATAAAATAACCACTACAACAAGGCGATTTTGGTCTTCCCTGAAGACCATATCTAAGTCAAAGAGAATTAAGCCTCCTGACCACGTCAAGGTATCGCCCTTTCAGGAGGTTTAAATAGCACTATTTTCCAAACATGAAACATACATTTAATTTCCACCAATAGCTTGTTTGATGAACAGTTTAATAATAATAATAATAATAATAATAATAATAATAATAATAATAATAACAATATTTTCATAGAATTCACGAAGACAATATTATGACCATATCGATAGGCTATGCAAAACATTTTCTTTATTTCAATGTGATTCTTTGCATAATTGTCACGTTTTGGATCATGTTTCAATAATTCATCAAGTGTTCAATCAGAATGTTCAGGTTATATAATGGACCCTAAATCGTATTATGTGTCCATGGTTATATGGAAACACTAACAACATAAAACATGCCAAAGGAAATTAACCTTGATTTCTGTAGGTGACATTTATCGTCACAATCTCCGCTTTGAGTTTAGAGCTGACTTCTAACTTACCTGTGATGATATGTCTTCTGACATTAAAAATCGTTTAACAGCCACACTACACAGGTGCTCTGGGGGTGACCCAAATTGAAGTTAACATGGCCACTCTTTACTCGCTTCATTTTCTTCTCCGACTCTGCAGATCCCGAACACCCATTAGATAGATAATCAACATCTTCATGATTAATTATTACACTGCGGCTACCGAGCCGATTGTGCTGCTCTTCGAGAATCGCATTTAGTGGATTCACAACCACTACAGTGCTGGCGGAATCGTTCAAATACGGTAGGCACTGTATCACAACAGTTTTGCCGTAACAAGTCGGTAGAACACCTAAAACATCCCTTGATGCACATGCCAAAATAGCATCACGTTGTTAAGCCTTTAATTGGAAAAAAATACAAGAATGGTATCTGTTCGCCCGATCCAAAATATTTGAAATTTCTATGTCACTGTTGACAGACGACACATTAGTCGCCATGTTTCTGTCTATTTAACCAGCAAAAGCGCTAAACCAGTTTACCGTAACGTCAAGGTGAAGGTTGTTTTACCCAATACCGGTCGTTCCAGTCTGTCCCAGTCTGTCGCAGGAACGAACAGGAACCAGTCTAGTCTCAATAGACCATTCTTAATGAGGCACCATGAATATTCATATCTCAATCAGAACGAGGCGAACGTAGGCAAAGTCACCTTAAACATAATGGCGGCGAATGCGAAAAATCTGAACGTGCTTCCTGATTTCACGTTTTCCTTCAAATACTTTTCTGAAGCTTATATCCACGGCCTGAAGGGTGAGTAATCGCTGTTCTTCACTTGTCTACACAACACGAAAAGTCGTATGACCTAGATATCTCGGCTAATGTTTACGATGTTGCTCGGCAGTTATTAGGGGAAGCTACTCTAAAGTCATAACATTGAAATATTATCAGGGGACGTCATTCACGTTTACTTATCAGCATGAACAAAACAGAATACTCAACTTATTTTGTGTCCAGGTTTCAAATCCTTCAATTCCGATTCGAAATTCTTCAAGCAAGCAGAATATATTGATTGAGCTGGATCATAAGCAAGCATAAGCATATGCTTGATCTAGATAGCTCTACTCCAGCAGATCTTTTGTATTCTTAATGTAGCAGTTTAGTGAAGGTCTTTTTATAGCGAACAAACACATGCTACGGGGTTGAGGTCTTTATTGCGATGCGTCGAGTGTGATAAGGATCTATATATCATACACCCTGAAACACATAATAACACAATAAATACTAAGTAAAACATTATCATTAATGCTAGATACACAGCATAGGCTTATTACAAGTAATTATTTACATATATTAGTCATCCATTAAACACAAGATAGACTGAACCTTAAACGATTATACTAGAACATATACAGTATGTACATGATCAACAATACCGACATTCAAGGGAGATAACTCCTTGACTTTCATTTGACTATAATATATACACAATATAAATGCATAACGCTTACACATTCTGCATAAACATATACAATACTTTAAGACAGAAATTAATGATATGATATTACATTAAATGTGGTCATCACAATTAGATTACATTGTAAGTCTTAGACAAATATAAATAACACAATGCATACCCTGTGGGTGATACAAGGGTGTGGATCCCAACTGCCTATATGGCAACACCATAGATTATCTGAATAAACAATACATAGACTAAAACACTATTTAACATTTAATATATTGAACAAATTAATACACACATTTTCTTTACAATGATTTGCATTGTATCACATCTAAATCTCTACATTACAAAGCTTATTAAAACACTCTTGAGGTAAAACACTTTCACACATATTTCATTGAAGTGATAGAATACATTTTAGTGATAAAGTATGGATGTTTAGCTTATCCTATGCAGATTTAAATATTTAGACATAAATCAACATTTATGTTAGATTACATACATTTAGTTTACTTCATATAACACTTTGAACATACTGTATTATTTAAATACAACACAAGATAGAGATTATAACTATTTAACTCACCTGATTTAATATTCTCTCTTTACACTTTGCTGGTCTGAGCAGTTCTGTCAGTTTATGTGCTGAGAGAGTATGCAGTGTAATCAAAGCATGCAGTTTAACAATAGGTGTTAGCTTGGCCAATCAGCAAATGAAGCTTCTGGCCATGGGGCAGTTAGTAGGTAAGACAGGTCAGATACACTTTGTTATAGCTGACTGAAACGGACAACTAGTTATATATGATAAATATACGTAAAAACCTAAAATGAAATTAAAACAAATATATACAAAAACTACATCGGCCACATTAATGTGATACAATTATTAAATTTGTTTTTCCTGTTTAAATATTTCAGCCATCTTGCCCATTTTTTTTCAGTGGTTCCTACAGGTGATAATGTTGTTCGTGTAACAGCATCTTGTTACAGATCAAAGAGGAAAAACGAATCCCCTCATCAACTTGAGGTTTTTATAATATATGGTGTTAAGACATGTACCGTACAGGGTTCATTCTAGGAATTTTCTGACATGAATGTGAAAATTTCAAATATTCCAGAGACACCCACACTTGCCCATACAGCATGTTAAAATGCCCCATTGAATTTGAAAATGTTGGCCTTTTTTCAAATTTAGGAACAAGGCCGCAGCCTAGAATTATCCCTGCATATATAATGAACAGGCCTACATTCATATTGTATCAGTTAAAGTTATTTATAATACTCATCAGTAATTGTTTGTCACTTTCACCAGGATTATAATTAATTTGTTTCATCATGTGACTGTTAATAATGAGATCTATAACTCAGCATTTTTAAATCAGTTGCTACTGGTTACTGTGGTATAATTTATTTTTAAATGATTGTGAAAAGGAATGTAATTAAAACAAGAGTTTGCCACTCACGTGGCTATATCCGCCGCCCCTGTTGCAAAATTTATGACATAATGAAATCAAACCCTAACCTTTTTTAACCGAGGTGGAACTTGTCATGGAAATTGTAAAAAAGAAGAGTATGGAACATAAGTCCATCTTTTGCCATGGAAACGTAAAAAATAAAAAATTCTAAAATTTCTAAATAGCAAAAGGCACCAGTTCAGCATGTACCTGGCAGACCTGCAAAGTTTGATGAAACAATATTGAACGGTTTATTAGTTATGCTCCGGAAACGAACCCTACCCTCACAGAACCTAAGTCCATCTTGTTGCCATGGAAACGTAAAAAATAAAAATTTCTAAAATGCAAAAGGCACCAGTTCAGCATGTACCTGACAGACCTGCAAAGTTTGATGAAAAAATATTGAACGGTTTATGAGTTATGCTCCGGAAACGAACCCTACCCTAACAGAACCTAAGTCCATCTTGTTGCCATGGAAACGTAAAAAATAAATATTTCTAAAATTTCTAAATAGAAAAAGGCACCAGTTCAGCATGTACCTGACAGACCTGCAACGTTTGATGAAAAAATATTGAACGGTTTATTAGTTATGCTCCGGAAACGAAACGTGACGGACGGACGGAGCCCGTTTTTATATCCCCCGCCAACCTTGTTGGGCGGGGGATAATTCTAAATAGTAATACTTATTTCATTTTTTCCTCCAGATACATTTCGGTTGTCATCCACTTTCTGTGGAGACTGCTGTATGTTCCTGTACCATAAGTTAGAGTCAGAGTTGTGGCCACATCACAGGTGTTATGTACCTGATAGCAAACTACAAGTGTCTAAAAATTGGTGTTGCTGCCATTCCAGATGATGTCTGCAAAACTTCACTTCCCCAAACCTGCATCTTCCTAGAGGAGAAAGAATTAAGGGAGCTCAGTCAGATGATATAGTTGTTTAAGAGTATGACACTGAGAACCCTACTCGTGTCACTAAAGGTGTCCATTCTAACCTCTACAATCCTTTTTTCAATCACCTCTACCACCATAATTCTAGCGATAACAAACCATTTTAGATATTCGTGGTCCCTCCTTCAGATAAGCACTTCTTGTACAGTACCACGCTGTTAAAATCGTTTCAGATGCATCCACTGCGAGCAAATCAGTTAGAATCTATATTTGAACGAGGCGCCAACTCAACATTACGCTTGAAACATGACTTGGATCCTGATTTGGTATACGACGTCCGAGTAGAGCAGGGAGAGAACCAGTCAAGCTGCTAACGTCACGTGATGCTATGACAGTCTCGCGAGATTTATGACGTCGCCTTGACGACACTTTCACTACTGGCATCGCCATTGTTGATGTTATACTGCTGTCGTATTGCTACTTACCTGCTGCCTTTTGCCTTGTATTGTTCTCATCTCCGCTTGTGAAAACCATGAGCGCATACACCCAAGGTATTTCTTTGTTTCTGAATTAGCCATGTTGGCCCATTTCCTTGTTTTCTGATTAAATTTCTTGATCAAATTTGAAGTAAGCCGAGATCTAAATCTGTTGAAAAATTATTCTAGAAGGCCTAGATTTCTACAACCAACCATTCACCATTTATATAAGATTGCATTTTTGTAGCCATTGATAACCAGTAGCCAGTCTGAAATATGTCCGATATATACTTTCCTTATTCTTATTCTGAAAAAAAGACCATTTGTTTACACTCAATGTCAAGTATCGAAAGAAGAAACTTCAAATATGACAATTTGTCGTTTATAAAGATTTTTTTCAGGTTAAATTGAGCCCATTTCATCCTTTTCAGTCTGTTGATAAAACAAATCAACTATTTTAAACGTTTCATACTTGTCGGTTGTATCAGATTTAAATTTTAAGGCTGATAGATCTAGGCATAGTTGTTTCTCTTCAAATACATATACTAAAAACCACTGGTGTGTTAATTTTGCCTTTTCATAACATAGATATCTGTAGCCCTTCTGTAACAACAGTAAAACTAGCTCAGGATAATATTAACAACCCACTTTGTCAATGAGGTTGTGGTAGTTTTGTTTCCACAGTGTTATAATTTTAAAGTTAAACCGTTCCAAATAAATAAAGATTAATATTAGACTCAATCATAATTATTTTGATGTTTCCAAGGCGCTTGTGTGAAAGTGACTTCAAAGCAGGGGTATAGACACGACCGCTAGTCCGTTAGTTCGAGACAAGTGAAAATGGAAAGGGACTAGTTGTTTGTTTTATTCCAAAATCTTGTTGCTTTAATCAAACCACTATTCTCAACTACAGAATCGTTGGAAATGATCAATATGTGGTGTCTATCCCTGCAAAGGCTTCCATCCCTATAGATAACACAAACATCAACATAGAAACTTTCCCTTCTGTCCATCATAAGCATGAGATTCACTTACGGAGAAAGTAAACAAACATGTAATGTACAAATAGTAGAATTGTAAAACATAGTATAGCAGCGGCACAACCACTGGTTTCATTTTGAAATGATGAAAATAAGCTGCGTATTTAGATCTACGTAAAGTACGCAAAATGAGTTGCTTCCGAACAAATGGGCATGACAACAGTCAAAACCCCAAGGTGCTTCACGGTGCTGTGCGTAAATACCAAACGTAACCTTTCCACCATGCGTACCTATTTTCCCCATAGATATTTATTTACTGATCCAATTCAGGCATCACGTAAAAGTGAATTCTACTGCCGTGAATTATTCACAACAGGTGCATCTGAAATCACATGAAACAATATTTTAAGGTGTATTATTGTAAAAACTTAAATTTACTCATTTTTAAAAAATACTCAAGGGAACAAAAACATATTGAATACCTAAAGAGAATTATCAATACCCAGGGTCAATGGTAACATGTGAGTAAATACACCATGGCTAAAACAGTATCTGGAACCCTGTGCTTTTATGAATCTTTCATAGCGTTTGTGACAATGACCAATCAATATCATAATCCAGAACAAAATCATGAATAGTGTTATTATGTTCTATCAAGTATTATTCTGTGAACGTAACCCTACGACCACTTAATACCGGAAAACAAATCAATTTCGCAATCATTATCAACCCGAACACTGACAACATTAAACTATTCATGTAACATATGAAATGCATGCCAATTGTACGTCAATACTTAACAAACTTGTATAACGTTCCTACCAGGGTACCTACGAATACACTAAGTATATTTCCGCATACACGTACTGAACATTGAGAAAACCTTTCCTTCATATGCAATAATATAGGTTGATGTAATGTCTCTCTCTCTCTCCCTCTCTCCTGTGTGAAAAGGGCGAAATATTAATGCGTCTTATAAAACTCTGTATATCTTAATGATTCTGTTGCTAACACTCGCTTTGCTAACACCAAGGACAACCCATGAAGATCCCGGTTGGAATAGGTCTTCAACAAACCATGCTTGTCGTGAGAGGCGACTAACAGGATCAGGTGGTATGTCATCGTATCCCAATTGCGTGGATCGATGCTTATGATGTGACTCGAATATTTGAAAACCGCCGTCATATAGCTGGAATATTGCTGAGTGCGGCATTGAAACAACAAATAAACACACCATTAGGACATTTTCATGGACTGAGCATATTTGGATTGAATGTACTTCCATAGCATCACCAAACTACAGACACACCCTTACAACGTTTTGGATGGCAATCAGTCAATGTCCTAGAAAATGTACCTATCGGAAACCCTGGCTACCGCTTATATACTTGCCTTTTCTGAACTGACAAGATGACAGTGATCGAATGGATCATCAGGATCACTTTAAATTTGTCTAAAAGTAGTTTATATACTGTCCAAGTTGATCCTGTTGCATTTATTCCCATTTAACACTCTCATTCTCTTTCCTGACAGCTCTTGACCTCGTGATCAGGTTCCCTTTGAACTTTGACATCTGGGCCCCTCCTCGCCAAGTGGGTGTCTTAGGGAATCAGTAATTTACTGTTATTGTAATTAATTACTAATATGTGATACAAAATATATTCTATTGATTTGGAAAGTTATATTCATGAGCATTATTAACTACGTATCATTATCACTAACGTCCTTGTAACATCATAATTATCCCCTTATTGATCCATTTCCAACAACTACCCTCTTCTTCCTGTACTCCTATCGTCTGTCTCTCTCTACATGTCTTTCTCTCCCTCCCTGTCAGCGTCCTACTGGGAGGTACATGACCATCCTTGAACCCCTGTCAGAACTCCCCGTCCCTTCCACCTCTATCCCCGACCCCGACCCTCTCTCTGCCTCCGTCCCCCGTGATACCCCTCACTTCGTCGATATCAACCTGGATGATGACGACACCCCGACCCAGTCCTTAGTTGGAGTCTTCCTGTCACGTGTGTCTGGATTCTTGAGGAGAGTGTTCCGTGTCAAGATGGACGCTTAGAGTGACATCTTGCTACCTCTTGGACCTTGTGTCATAATAATTTCCTTGGAGCTTTAGAATACGTTTAAAAAATAAATGATATAGTGCTCTTTACATTTTGGACCTTTCGGACATTTCTTACTTTTCGGACTTTATTGAATTTTTCGGGTATTTTGATCATTTATGATCATTTTGCTATTTTTCGACTTGGAATAAATACGTTTTTAAATACTAAACCTTCAGTGTTTTTGGACTTTAAAGGGAATTTGGCCATTTTGGATTACATTTTGAATGATGTTTATTGTTATATGCTATTTACGTTTTTGGCTCTTTCGGACACTTTTGGCTTTTAAGATTGGACTTCATTAAATAATTAAAATTCAATACTTGTTGTTGTTTTGTTTTTTTCCATTGAGTCGTTTCCCCTTTAGTCACGTTGTTACCTACAATCTCCTTGGTTTGTCAGCCCCCTATACCCGTGTGCTTGTGGGTTTCACCAAAGTGGTAAACATCTACAGGTAAACAAACAAGATATGACAAGACATGCATTGTGAGCATAGAATATGTCACACAATAGGTTATCTTCACATGCAGTGGGGCTGGCATACCCTGTCCGGCTCAGCCCAACTGTTGGCAGTATTTGAGGGCTACTGTTACTTTTCTTTCTTATGTCAACCGCATTCAGCAGTATTTCAGCTACAGAGAGTCTATTGACCGCTATCTGGGTACGATGACAAGCGGTCATCCGAGACACTGACCACCTGATCCATGGACTTAGTCGCCTCCTGCACAGGGACCAGTTCTAACCCGGAAACACACCTGGTCACCAAGGTGCTCACCTTGAGTATCCAAGATACGTTCAATTAGTAATTCTCTACGACTGCACTTACGATTTGTTCATATATTTCGAAGCAAAATTTTTTTTCTCTTAGCGGAAGTAAATGCAGAAAAGGAAAGGAAATGGTTTGACGTTGTTATATCATGAAAACAGACATATTAGCAAGGACAAAGACGTGAATATATTTCAATGACAATCGTTTAGAATAGAATATTTTGGGTGCTTACTCGTTATAATACATTGATTAATGAAATATACAAATTGCTCTTTACTACTACTTTATTACACTTCGTTTTAGAGTTCTCAATTTTACCTTTGCATGGGCCCCCATTCAGCGCCATTGCATTAAAGCTGTCGCCAAGAGAATGGATATATGTTGGACACGCACTCTGTTTTTAATTCTATAACACTTAAGTCACTACAGTACTACTTTACTCCATTTAGTTTTAGAATTCTCAATTTTTCTTTTCTGTGCGACTTCTTTAAAGACGTTGCCAAGTGCATGTACATAACACGCATTCTAGCTTAAACGAAACACACATAAACGCTTACACGTTAGTTTTCAGTGAGAAACAACAACACTAGAGTTAATGGTGAACACGATTTGAACAAATAATATTTTTGATTGATTACAGTTGAAAATGGAGTTTATCTGCACGGTATCGTATTGTCACGTAATTTAAGGGACGCAACTCGTGTTCTCTTGGCAGAATCGTATGTAAATAAAGGGACGCAACTGCATGCGTCTCATAGTAAGGCAAGCACCTCCCTAGGGTGTGAGTCTGGGTTTTGCGCCGCTTTTAGCAATACCACGGCGGGGAACACCAGGGTCCACTTGCACAAAGCGGTTCTATCGTTACAATTATTGTAAATCCTAAAGATCGCGATCTTACGCTTTGGCTTCAATCGCTACCCACTTGTACAAAGCGAATGTAGGCTAAGATCATTGTAAGCTACAATCGAAACTTACAATTGGTCCGGACAAATCTTAAGGAGCTAAAATCGTTGCAGTCCCTCAATAAACTTGACAAAATGGCGTACAAGACTTGGTCTGTTTCACATATAATAATCTGCTTTACGTTCAAACATTGCCTCTTTATTTTGTTAAACTTAATGATTCTAATCGACACTTTAAGGGGCACTGATCTAACGCAATTCCCCGGACTGGTTGTTGCCTTTGTTATTTTATTTTTTCCCCGTGAGCACCCGGATGATACGCAACGTAACTGAGCGTGACCAGAGACTGGGCTACCGTCTGCAAGGACGGCTAAATAAACTTGGAGGCCGGAGGCAATATTTGTTTTACGCATTTTTGCATAAACACTGATTGGTTAACTGTGATCTGTAAAGATTTCGACAAAGGGCGCATGTTAATTAATTTCTTCAGCCTAAACAAACAGACAAAAAGAACGGCGGAGCTCATCGGATGTCGTCATTTGGAAATACCCCAGATGATTATAGTTTAATACTAAAATAAGTATCTATGCAGTGAAAGCACTTTCGGATTTCGGTTTGCGTCGATAATACGATTACTACTCCCTTGTTGTCATCCACGTTTTCTCGTATAACCCTACACTTGTGTATTTGTCGTCATTCACTTGATGCTCAGTTAATGAATTTATTACAGGTACAATTAGTGGTAGCACCACTTAGATTACCTGACAAAGGTTCCCATTTGGCATTTATTGTGTCTGGGGTAATTATTCAATCTAAATCCATGTTTGAAGTGAGGTGAAATGTGTGTTATGTAATATGCACGTGGCAGACCAGCAAGAGGTGAATGATCAGTTGATTTACTTTTTTTTATAAATCAACGGATCGTTCCTAGTCATCAAAGGATTAACAGAAAATATGTTGATTGATTAATCACTGTTATCTTGCACAGTGGATATGTCAAAAGGGAGTGTTTACATGTCTAGGTTTACAAAAACAAAGAGAATACACTCATATCATGGCGTGAAGTGCCGATGTAAAAACAACATACTTTGTTCAAAGGGTTAACTGATAATACGTTGATTGATTGATCATTGTTATCTATCACTCAATGGAATTTTTAGGAACCGTGGACGTTATGAAAATAGTTGTCACGTGGGCTTTCTCAGCCGACCTTTGAGACTTGACACCTATGTGAAACACCTGAAACAATCCAAGTGATCAGTTGAAAAACGAACACGGGTTATAATATCCCGAAACGATATACATCTTTTAAAATATTTGATTGTTACAGAGATACGTGACATCGAATAAGTTTCTTTGTACAGCTGCAGACGAGTGGGATATTGTTCCATTGTGTGGATATTCACGGATACATTCCTCGAACAAGGAAACTGCCAAAAAATTATACACATAAATTTGGTAGGTTGTAATTATGGTATTTGCATTTTGTTTTCCTTCAATTGCTGTAGCATTGAACCGATTCGTCCTTGTTTCTCTACGTATTGGTTTGGAAATTCTTCAATGCGCTATAGACGTTGTTTTCACGGGTCTTTTCCTTTGTAAGCGTGTATATATTACCGTCAATTTGATAAAATGTGATTCTCTCAGACAATTTATAAAATGTGTAAATATTTCAGTCATTTTGACTAAAAAATCTGTCCAGATTGATTAAGACGATCAAAAGGGCCTACAAACACCACAACAGATTAATATGTAGGATTAGAAGCCAAACAACATAGAAATGTACTTTTCAACGTAACATTTTCAGTCTCTTGGTGATGACATTAAACATCAAAATGTTTGGAATTCGTTATCATAATTATACAAATGGAAATGTTTTTCAGTCACTTTGTAAAATAACTGAATATTTAGGCGTTTAATAAATTTGAAAATGTTACATATTTTGACTTATAACAACTTCGTCACCATTACCGATTCTACCCACAGAGATACCTACATTTCCTTATTATCTCGAAAACTGTGTTTCATTTTGTTGATCAATGTGACCATACGCCCTTATTACTACCCATAAAAGTGACTACGAATGGCGCAACAGAGGTCGCGAACTAATCTAGATTTCTGCTATACATCCGGGTACTCACTGGGAAAAAACAATAACAAAGGCAACAACCAGTCCCGGGGAATTGCGTTAGATCAGTGCCCCTTTAACAACATTAAGAACCAGGATCCCGTTCCACAAAGCGATCGTAGCGCTACGACTGTCGTAAATCTATGCTACAGCATCGGCGTTACGGTCACTTTAGCGCTTTGCGGAACGGGGTACAGGTCTTTGAAAGGCATTTAGAAGTGATCCACATAAGGAAGAAAATATATGGATGTTAACTTCTTTATTATGTCACCTTCTCTAGCGGCAAGTCTATCAATACCAATCTACAAGCAAATGGCAGAGGCACTAGCAGCGCGAGTCCCAACCCCCGAGGATGTATATACCAGATACCCTGCAACTGATTGTGAACTCTACCCAGCTTTCTTACTTGTTACATGGGTGATAGCATTTTACTTAAGGGTACAGGGTACTAAATACTGATGCAACCAGCCACAACGAGTGTTGTTTTAACGGGTCTGCGTTTTGGCAGGTCTACGTTTTGGGAGGTTACCTGTCCACCAGTACATTGGAGAAACCCTTAGACCCCTCAACACAAGACTCAAAGAACATCGGGCCTCTGTTAGCAAACTCGACCAAAAATTCGCTATTTCCGAACACATCCTGAAGAACATAACAAAAACAACTGGCGACAAAGGAAAGCCATTGACATCTATATGGCTGTCCTACCTGTTGATAGGTGGATAGGTGAAAATTGGAGGCACTGAAAACACCATTAGTGGTAAGTCAGTAATACAACAAATTGTTGCATCTTACATAAAATATACACAGGCAATTTGTTGAGTGTGAAGTCAAGGAAAATATTCAATTTCATCACTTGAGTAACATTATCACTCATAAAAATACAGTGGATACATGGATAAGCAATTTATGAATTTGGATGAATTATTATTCTTTCAGATTGCCCTGTGCAACTGGATATTATCCTTGACAAACATGGAATCTTAAAAGTTCCAACCCCAAGTGACTGCACTAGTACTATCAAGGAGCCAACCAAAAAGAAGGCTAAATTACAAGAGGAAGAACTTCTGACACTGAGGGCCGAAAAAGTGAAGTTCTTACAGGAAACAATAACACTAAAAGAACAAGCGGAATACTTCAGAACCAATAACATCATTGCTAAATTAGAGAAGGAAAAGTTAGAGCTTGAAATACAAATATTAAGAAAGAAATGTGTGACAT